CCGCCACTCACCCATATTTTCGAGTTTATTTTGCGTGAAAGTGATAAATTACACAAAATAATATTTCAAAAGATGTACTATAGGTGAAGATGAAGGTGTTCGATTAAATGATAATAACAAAGGTGTCTTTTGCACCAAGCGCAACTTAAAAGAGTTCGTTCTTCACAACGAATAATTGAGCAATAAAGGTCATAGAATTCAAAGCAAACATCCTCTGGTTTGTTGATTTCACCCATTGTTTCATTGAGCATTTTGGTTTGTACGAATCCAAGCGTGATGAGATTTTTAAATTGTGTAGTAGATAGTTGATTGTGAATGATAGAATGAATGTTTATAAAATATTGACGATCATTCAAGTTCATTTCAGTTCGATTAATATGAACGTAATGCTCAATTTTTTTGTGAAAATATCGCCATGAACGAAATAAAGATAAATCTTGAGGTTGAATATGACCAGTTGAACCTTCCAGAAAAATCAATAAGTGACTTTCTTGATGTGAAAATACTGCTCTAAATTTTTTTAGATCAGTTTGAGTTTGCCAACAATCAAGGAAAAGAAGAAATTTTCTACCAACCAAAGGGTGAAGGACTTCATTTAAAAAAGTGCGATGCTTTTCATCCCTACTTTTTCCAGATTTCGAAGCTCGTACTACGGCATTTGGTGGTACAATTAAATCTTTTTGTATTCTTTTACCAATTCATTTTCTTTTTATGAGAGAATGAGAAAGAATTTCTTCAATAATTGACCATCAGCTGATGTAATAGGTTGGACTGTATAAGAGTGCGTTACATTCTTCTTCTTTTTAACAGCAACTTTTGTTGTTCTTTTACCAGTAAAAGAAAGAGTTCTTGGAGAAATATATTCTTGTTGAAATGAATAATGATCATTGTTCAAAATTTGATTGGAAGAGTAATTCGAAATTAATGATCTTTGACTTTCAATCCAATTGTGAGCATCTAAAAGATATGGATATCATACATTAAGACATAGCCCGGAATCTCCAGCAAAATTTGACGCACCTTTCAAACTACACATTTTTCTGGTGAAAGAAACTCATATAATCAGTTTGCTATATCTTCTTGATGAAATTCGATTTTCTCTCTTGAACATCTTGATAAATGTTTCACTTACTTTGAAATTTTCCCAACTTAGTTCCCTTGCTTTTTGAATCGCAAATCGTTCTAGGTCACTATCATGAATTGCTTCTTTTTCAATTGCTCTTTTTACATAAAATTCGTTCCACATAAATTCTTTGATATTTTTCAGTTTTTCCAATATTGTGCCGTTCTTGCTAATATATTCTCTAAATCTTGGAATATAATTCATAGATTTGACTTTCATAAACCGATTCGTAATAGTTGCAAATTTACAATTTGGATGTTCGTCAACCCATTCCACTATTTTTTCCATTTCTTCTAACGTAAAACAATTGCAAATATTTGAGTTCTGATTTTCATCATAATCATCAATATTCTCTTCTTCATCAGCTGATTCTTCTTCATCAGTGGTGTCCTCTGCATCCGTCGCTTCATTATATTCATCGTCGAACTCGAGACTTTGATAAGTATACAGTTCATTAAAATAACTATCTTTAAATGATTTTAAAATTTTAAATAATTGTTGTGATGCAACAATTTCATTATCATTTGGTGTTGAATCTTCAAAGCCAAATTCTGATTGTGTTAAATAGAGAAGATGTTTTGCAATGTTTACTAGATTCATATCTTGATTCGACGAAATTAATCTTTCTTAGTATTAATCGTGGTAGCAAAATGAGTGAAAATATTACTTCGAATGCACACTTGATGAAGACTTACGAACACCAATCATAAAGGAATGTACAATAGAGCCTATTCATATATTATTTACTTTTCTCCATTATTGAACCCACTTTATTGTATATCATCAGTCATCTCTTATAGCATCTCAAGCTCCCACTGATCATCATCATTTGGATACTTTTCTCTCTTCGTTATGATGCCGGACTATGTGAATGGTCCTATAAAGGACCGGGGCGCATAACAAGCCAAATCGGCCCACTGCCAAATTTCAATTAAAAACTAGTCAGACCTCGATAAAAAAAAGTGCGCTGAATCGTTTAAAGACAAGTCTAAATGAAATAGATTGATTCTTTCGGCGCAATAGATCACTAGATGACTCTCATAAAGTTCCTATATCAAGGACCCGCCAATAGATAACAAAATGGCCGTAATTGGTATCTTCAAATAGATTCATGACCTCCCATCGATACCATTAGCAAGAGGACTTAAAATTACTCATGTCCCTCTATGCGTATTAAAAATATCACTGACAAAACAAAATTTTTCACGAGACCATAAACGGTCTATAATCGATAAAAACTGATGCTCATCCATCTTCTGACAAATCGTATTCTCTTATTCTACATTTAAAACACTTTCGTTGACATACCAATCGATAGAGCTTGAAAAGTTCTACAAAATGGGA